CTCTGCAAGCAGCACCCAGCCCCGTCCTCTTACCAGCTGAGTTTTCATCAGTCCACCTTCCTTTCATTAGCAGTGCAGAGATGATACATCAGAACCCAAAGGAGTAATGGGTTAAGGGTCATAGTTTCAACGGGTCAGATTTTTAACATATTGTTGACACGTGGACTCACACCATTGCACATGAGTTTGGCAGCCTGGCCTTTTTTTTCAGGGCTGAACTAACTCATGTGTGCCAACTGTTGGCTGAGGTCATCCCCTCCTAGGGAGCAGTCAGAGAACAAGGGAGGTGTTACTTCCTGCCTTCTTCCAGGTCTCAGCCCCTCGTGGCACACTCCATTCTGCTCCCAGTGTGTGACCCAGTCTCATCTGTATTGCACGTTATGGGACCAGGTAGTTATGTACTTAAGCATGATGAAAAAACACTCTTTGAAATGAGCCACCCACAATATTTTCGTGCAGAATGCAAGACTGTTATCCCAGATTGTCCCTAATATTGTATTTTGCATTTGTTGATCATACCTTTTTTTTTCTTTTGATTTTCTTTTATCTCTTCTTCCCCCTGTTTAAAAAGTTTGAGGTTGATCATACCTTTAGACCACTCCTGACCTGTGGATCTTAGCCTAGACATGTCTGCTTTCCTTGGAGCAGTGGGATGCAGCTCCATTAACAGCAGTGAAAAGGAACAGGTCTGCTATTTCTAGCCACTTCATTCCACTTTAACTCTATGATCATTACTTTTTAAAATACCATTAGTTTTGTGTGTGATTTTATGGGCCATTAGTTTTGTGTGTGATTCTCCACCTCCCACCCCCTCTTATTTTTTTCCATTATTAGAGCCTTATTTGTTAAGAACAAAAAGTAAGTAATAGTGCAGACTTGTGGTCACAGTTTCATGAACGTATAACTTCACATTGGTGCCTGGAATTTGCCTTCTGAGAACAATGAGTGAGTTTTAATGGTTCCTGAAAATGAGCAAACAGTGCAAGCTTCTCAAGATGGAGACTGAACCAATATTTAGGAAGCCTCTGCCTGTTTTAACGCTGGCTGGCGGAAATGATAGGCACTTGCTTGCTGTTTTGTATATTTGGAGCTATTACCACTGCCTGAAGGTACACCAGAGATGGGTTCCTGGGAGGAATCCCAGTGGCAGTTCAGAAGGTACCCAGTGTACCAAAGCAAACCTCAACCTAGAGTGGACACCCCAGGTGTCCTGGTATGAGTGTTCAAGGGGCCCCACACCTCAACATCTCCTCCTCTCCTGAACTTGTCTTGATCTCTCAGTTGACAACTAGTCATAAAATTTCGCAGTGGCCCTTTCATTGTTCACTTCCATTTTTACTTAATAATTGACTTTTCATTGTTCATGCCTCTTCTGCCAAGCTAAATGGTAGGTTTTTTGAGCCACAGGGCTGTGTCTCTCACAGCACTTAGCACAGGAGGAAGAATCAGAACTGGACTTGGGTCAAATTCGCACCTTTCCACTTACTAGCTCTGTGACCCTGGATAAATTCCTTCACCTCCCTGCTTCTGAGTTTCCTTGTTTGCAAAACAGAGGCAATCATGCCAGGTGTTACAAGAGCCAGTTAGCACAGCGCTGGATGCTAGGAAATGCTTGGTAAATGGCAACTGTGACTCACTAGACAAAGCTTTGCACATAGAAGCTGAGCAAAATTTTGCAGAATTGAATATGACAAAGCAGGACTTAAATTAATGTGAGAAAAGGGCTAGTATGGGCTGTTGAACTTTCATGATAAGGACACTGTTTCCTCTGCCCTTGGGCTTGATTGACAGTTTACAAACCAAATTTTTTTTTAAATCATGCATGACTCTTTCGTGACCTATGATGACCATTTCAAGTTTAGCATGTTTCCTAAGCCCAAAGGGTCTGTGATCTGAGAGGTGTTGTTGATTTGTGTTGTGGAGACTTCTCAGCGTCACCCTTCCCTGAGCGGTGATGCCTTCTCTAGCTCCCTGCAGCATGTGGCTGATGGTGACACCAAGCACTGCTCCCTGATCTAAAGGTCCCATGAGTGTCCCTGGCTTCTTGAGAAGTTTTCTTTAAGAGAGCCATGGTGAGGGATAGGAATGAGGCTCAGTGAGACCAATAGCATCAAAATAAACCAGAAATACCGGGGCAGCAGCTCCGGTCAGGGGCAGCAGATCCAGAGCAACCAGCACTCCCTTCCCCTGATGCTAGGCCTACGCCACCCCCTGCCAAATAAAAATGGAGAAATAGTGATGAGGATGAGAGTTTGAGAACTGTATGAAAAGTATAAACAGCACTGAGATCAGTTTCCCACATTTCCCATATAAGTGAGCACATTTGCCAAAATTCAAGATGTGTCTTATCTACTCACTTAGCACCTGGCAAATTGCCCAGTAGCATAGTAGCCTTGTGAGGGTCAACTCTGCCGTCTCTCTCTTTGTGGTGGATCCGTGTAGCAATGAAGGAATAGGTCATGTGACAGTCTTACCACCTTCTTTAGTTACCTAGAAATACACACTTTCTCACTTTTTTTTAAATGTTCCTCGGAGAAAAGTACACAAAACAGATATAGTAGGTACTACTTGCTAAATCTGTTACCATGTCAGCTTAGCAGGGCACAAAAGTATAGGTTAGATGAGCTCCTTTTTAATGCTGGCCCTACAGAACAAGACAAGGATTCTTACTTGTCTGCTTTTGCTTGGGCTTGGTTGGTTGGTTTACACAATGCCTTGCTCCAAATGTAACTTGAGACAACACCCTCTAAATAGACTGTGTTATCACCTTCTGTACACAGTAGTAGTATGTTAGGGGTGCAGTTAGACTTATGACATATTCAGTAACGTACAAGCTTTTATCAAGTATCTGCCATGTTAGAGACTCCAAGTTAGATTAGATGCAGGGTTACAAAGAGAGATGAAACCATCCCTGGGCCAGGTGCTGTAATGCTAGCACTCTGGGAGGCCGAGGCAGGAGGATAGATTGAGCTCAGGAGTTTGAAACCAGGCTGAGCAAGAGTGAAGACCCCATCTCTACTAAAAATAGAAAAATCAGCAGGCACAGTGGTGCGCGCCCGTAGTCCCAGCTACTCAGGAGGTTGAGGCAGGAGGATTGTTTGAGCCCAGGAGTTTGAGGTTGCAAGCTACAGTGACGCCTGCCACTGCATTCTACTCGGGATGACAAAGCAAGACTCTGTCTCCAAAAATAAAAAATAAAATAAAACCATCCCTGATCCGAAGGAGCTTGCTGTCTTACGGTAAAAACAAACACAATTAGGTATACTAAAAGGGAGACAGCAGTGATTGCCTGTGTAGAACTGTAGAACTGTAATGTTGCAGTCATGATTTTTTGTTTTTTTAACCAAACATCTCTGGAAAAGATATCTGACAGAATTTTTTTAATTTGGAATTTTATTTAGGCACTTCAAAAATAATAACAGGCCGGGCGCGGTGGCTCACGCCTGTAATCCTAGCACTCTGGGAGGCCGAGGCAGGCGGATTGCTAGAGGTTAGGAGTTCAAAAATAATAATAATTAAAATCCCATTCAGTTAGATGTCTAAAAAATTTCCTCTACTGGACAGAATGCAATCCTGTAAAACCAGTGCTACCCTGGAGAATCCAGGACATTTTGTCATCTGGCTGTGGTAGCTGAGAGGACAGTGTCATTCGTTCTCTCTGAAAGGATTGGAGAGGGCTCCCAAAGGAGTTAATGTCCAATTTAAGAAGTTGGATCTTGAACAACAGACACAGGTCCTTGCAAGAGTGTCGGCTCTGTGTGTTACAGGAAATTTCATACACACAGCCATCAGCTGCAAAGCTTGCCAGTTCCTCTTGCTCTGCACTCATTCCCTCAGCTGAAACTTTTGATCATTGTTACCATAGCTTCCAGCTAGGACTCCATGATTTCTACTTGATTTGTGCACTTGATTCATAGACCCGCCCCCCCCTTTCCTGTGGGGTCAGCAGTGCTTGCAAGAACCTGGAGGATGCTTGGCTTTACAAGCGGGGTAAGGAAGCCCACCCTGAACACCCACGAGTTTAATCTATTTCCATCTGAAAAACCAATGGCCTTAGGCAACATGTTCTTAATTGTTTAAGTCATTGTGTGGGCTCACGAGTGTGTTTGTGTGTGTGCAAGCTGTGCATAAATAGCACATTTTCAGTCTGTGTAAAATATAATGGATAAGCAGCAAATGACAGTAGGCTTAGCCCCTGAAGATTTACCAGGAAAAAAGACAGCTGCATGGCAAAGCTGCTGCCAATAATTAGGGAAGGAATAGCCCATGTCCTGTGCCACTCAGCAGCTTCAGCCATTTAAATGACAGCCAGATTGTTTAGCTCTGTAACCCCCATTCATTATGGGCTAGCAGTTAATTTTTTTGGTGAGAACATTGCTTTTGCTTGTCATCATCACTGGTGTCACTATAAGATCAGGTATGACATGATGCCGGAAAGCCCCAAGTAGAAACCATGGTGGAGGAACACAACAGTTGTTTTTAATGTTTCTTTTAACATTGTAAGTGAATGAGGAAAAACTATTTCTGCAACCTCACGGACTTTGAGTTTTTAACAGGGTCGTGTTGCCAATTTTGTGGATGACAAAAAACGATAATGCTGTCTTTGGCTCAAGTGAGCTGCTCGAGCAGCTCCTTGTGTAGAATGGCTCTCAACAGGCCTGACTGGGAGGGAAATTAATAGGCTTCCCATTGTCACCGTGCATTTTTGCCAAGATATTTCATTAGTGTAAACACTGGACCCGTTGTCATCTTGTTTAGCCACTTGACCCTGGTGATTTTCAATTCCGCTTGGGCTGTGATGAAGTACAGCAGTGGCGTGCACGAGACAGGCACTAATTATTGGAAGCAGCATCACTGCTGACCCAGTACAAGATTAACTGCTCCTTTGCAGTCTTTATTCTGGGACGTTAGCACTGTCTGGTTATCTTGCTTCAGTTGAGGGATTCGGGACAATAGCGGCGCTGATGGTAACGTTGGCAATTTCCCTGTTTGTTTTGCAGGTCACGGCCAGGGGCTTTGGGCCGCTGTTACAGTTTGCTTACACTGCCAAGCTGTTACTCAGCAGAGAAAACATCCGCGAGGTCATCCGCTGCGCGGAGTTCCTGCGCATGCACAACCTGGAGGACTCCTGCTTCAGCTTCCTGCAGACCCAGCTCCTGAGCAGCGAGGATGGCCTGTTCGTGTGCCGGAAGGACGCTGCGTGCCAGCGCCCGCACGACGACCGGGAGAACTCCGCGGGAGAGGAGGAGGAGGAGGAGGAGGAGACCATGGATTCCGAGACGGCCAGGACTGCTTGCCCCAGGGACCAGACGCTTCCAGACCCCATCAGCTTTGAGGCCACTGCCGTCCCGGCGGCAGAGAAGGAGGAAACCTTGCTGCCCGAGACCGACGTGCCCACCGACACCAAGGAGAGCTCGGAAAAGGACGCGTTAACGCAGTACCCCCGATACAAGAAATACCAGCTTGCATGTACCAAGAATGTCTACAATGCGTCATCACACAGTACCTCAGGTTTTGCAAGCACATTCAGTGAAGATAACTCTGGCAGCAGCCTCAAGCCGGGGCTTGCCATGGGGCAGATTAAGAGCGAGCCGCCCAGTGAAGAGAACGAGGAAGAGAGCATCACGCTCTGCCTGTCCGGAGATGAGCCCGACGCCAAGGACAGAGCCGGGGACGTGGAGATGGACCGGAAGCAGCCCAGCCCCGCCCCCGGCCCGGCCGCCGCGGCGGGGGCCGCCTGCCTGGAGAGGTCCCGGAGCACGTCCTCGCCCTCCTGCCTCCGGTCTCTGTTCAGCATAGCGAAAAGCGTGGAGCTGTCCGGCCTGCCCAGTACATCCCAGCAGCACTTTGCCAGGAGTCCAGCCTGCCCTTTTGACAAGGGGATCACTCAGGGTGACCTTAAAACTGACTACACCCCTTTCACAGGGAATTACGGACAGCCCCATGTGGGCCAGAAGGACATGCCCAGCTTCACGATGGGGTCGCCCCTCAGGGGGCCTGGGTTGGAGGCTCTCTGTAAACAGGAGGGAGAGCTGGACCGGAGGAGCGTGATCTTCTCCTCCAGCGCTTGTGACCAAGTGAGCACCTCGGTGCACTCCTACTCTGGGGTGAGCAGTTTGGACAAAGACCTCTCTGAGCCGGTGCCAAAGGGTCTGTGGGTGGGGGCTGGCCAGTCCCTCCCCAGCTCACAGGCCTACTCCCACGGTGGGCTGATGGCTGACCACTTGCCAGGAAGGATGCGGCCCAACACCAGCTGCCCGGTGCCAATCAAAGTCTGCCCTCGCTCGCCACCCTTGGAGACCAGGACCAGGACCTCCAGCTCGTGCTCCTCCTATTCCTACGCAGAGGACGGGAGCGGGGGCTCACCCTGCAGCCTCCCTCTCTGTGAGTTCTCCTCCTCGCCCTGTTCCCAGGGAGCCAAGTTCCTTGCCACAGAACATCAGGAACCAGGCCTGATGGGAGACGGGATGTACAACCCAGTCCGACCCCAAATTAAATGTGAGCAGTCTTATGGAACCAACTCCAGCGACGAATCCGGATCGTTCTCGGAAGCAGACAGTGAGTCGTGTCCTGTGCAGGACAGGGGCCAGGAGGTAGGGAACCCACATAAATTCAAGCATGTGACCCACTCTCTCAGTCCTTAATCTGGACTTTCCCTGTCCTTCCCCTGCCACTCCCAGATTGTTCTTAATTTGCCAAGATTAAAGGTGACAGTGAAGGGACCGCCTCCCCCATCCACAGAAGCAGGGGTGCTGCGGAGTGATTCCAAATTAACCACTTCATCCTAGAAGGCACATGATGGTCCATCTAGATTTCAGTACTCAACAAGCAGAGGCAAGCTGCTGAGTGAATAAAACATTAAGTCTAATGCATGGAAGTGGGCTCAGGTACTTCAAATCGTCCCCCTTCCTCCTCCCTTTCTCCCCTGTCCTCCATCCGCTTTGAAATGATGCCGCATTCATGGCGCTCATCCGCCCTTTCACCCTGTCAGTGCGAAGGAAAATGGAGAATCTCTTTCAAGATTGATTGATTGAAACTAAGTAGTCCGACACAAAACAGGTGCTCTCCCAGCACCTTTTAAATTTCCCTTGTCAGCAAAAGACCCCAGAGCCATCCCACGTCCCTCACTATGCAGATGACAGGATGCTCACCGTCCATCCTGGCCCAGGGCCGTCACAGGCGCCACACATCATGTGTGACAGATCATTTCCCGAGCTCCCCCAAACGACAGGACGTCATTTTGAGGCATAGTGGGCCGGAGTCGTGCTTTTGTCCACCCTGAAACAGAGTGCTTTGTAGACGAAATTTCCGAAGGTTCCATCTGTGTCTTACCTTTGCTAGGCAAGGGGGATGGGACAGTAGCGGCCACAGCATGAGCAAGACTCATGTGACTGAGGAGAGGGAGGACTGGGAGCCCCCCCCCCGCCAGGTCCCCACCAACCCAGTAGCGTGAGTGTTCCCTGGGAAGACCCGAGGGAGGCTGAGTCATGACCTGGCATTTGCTATACCATCTTGCTGACTGACAGGGGACCAACCCGAGATTGCCTCCTGCGTCAGGGACCGCGTCAGGGACCGCCTCAGGGGCAGGAGTGCGAGAACCCAGGGACGAGTCCCTCCTGAGAGCTGTGTAGCCACAAAACACAGGAAGAAGTGAAGCGTGGTCCCCGTCAGGCCAGCGCCCTTCATGCCCGCCTGCGCGGCCTGGACGCAGCCTGTGTGAGGCAGGGGGTGCTAACCTGACCAGACAGCTGAAATGCCACACGGGGCGAGGTGGCTTTGCACAGAGCCACGTGCGGTCTATTCAGCCTCTGCAAGATTGGCTAGAAGCGCATGAGGTTTTAGTTCGGGCATGTTTTGAAAATAGATTCCACGGTTCCCTGTGCCAACTGCAGAAATGCCCTGTGGTCACTTTCCCTTGTCTGCTAGCTAGAATCTCTAGCCTGGTTTCTGCATTTCTGTTAGCTGCCTGGCAGAAGTAGAGAAAGGCAGAGAAACATGGAACGGATCTAATTTACAAAAAGAAATAATAAAGGAAATGGGAATGGGAACTAGTCTCATTTGAATACGCCATGTGCCCTTCGGGATGGAGGGTCGTGCCCAATCCCCTAAGCCAGACTCACATCTGTGTCCCTGACCCGAGAGGACTGAGGTGAAAGACTGTGTACTCTCTCTCCCCGCTCATTCTTTCCCTCTGGCCACAGCTTTTGTGAGGTTCCCTTTTTGTGCCTGCAACTGTTAATAAGTGTGCCCACTGTGGAAGGCTAGTCACTGGGCCCAGTTTATCTGCATCATGATTTGTCTCACCAAGGACTGGCACGGTGAGAAGACGACAGACGCCTGAGTCTTTGCTGTTTGTCTCTCCCTTAAGAGGAGTCTGGCCATTCAGTGTAATGGATTGTGTTTTTGTGACATTTGCATATGTTCATTGAAACTGTCAGTTTCAGGTGCATCTTCTTTTGCCCCTCTAATATCCCAAAAGACAGCTTAGAGTCACTTCTTGGAACTCAGTGTCACAAGAAGAGCACGTGTGTTTTTCTGTGTTGGGCTGTATCAGTTATCTACCTTAGAACTGAAAATAGTGACTCAATTAAAAGGACACTCATTCAACTTATATAGTAGTCATGACCAGGATTAGTCTCCCCTCAAGAAATACCCCTGCTTTTAAAAATAGTTTAATTTTTTTACTTTCCAAAAAAAGAAGCTGTTGTTTGCATGCCTTAACAGCAAAAGAAGAGACATTTACCAAAACACTATGCCATTTGGGGATCGCAGCCCCTCTCGGTAGTACATTTTGGGGAGGATAGTTATAGTAAAGCTAATTTGTAGTTAATAGTAAAGCAAATTTCCCAATTTGACAGTTTAGCATTCCTAGAGTAGAAGTTAGGTTCTCCAAGAACTGTCTCAGGGACTTAGCATGACTGCTGCTCTTAAAGTTTATAACTTGCTTTTGGGAGTTAATACTTGGACGCTGGTGGAAGTGTCTTCCCCAGTAATGATGCTGAGGGCAAATCCTTCCCCAGGAGTCACAACCTGTTTTCTTGAACTGATCTGGAAGAAGCCAGCATTTGTTGAGCTGAGGCTGCTTTGATCTGCTCTCAGATGAGGTCTAGGTGTCTTCTCTTCCAAGTGAACCCCAAGGAGACACCAGAGTCAGAAACCAAAAGGGTTCCTAGTCCTGGCCAGCCACCAGCCTAATACTTTAGATGCATTTTCCCAGTCTCTCTTCCAAAATGTTAGATCAAAGAAAAGTGTGAACATACCTTATTTTCCGTATGATGTTCTGGTTGTGCCATATTAAGTAGCTCTTCCATCTCATAAACATGAACTTCTCCCATCCTTTTTAAAAATTGTTCCCTGGCTTTGAAAAAGCTTGAATTAACACAATGTTGGTCTCTATCATAATTCAGCTTTTTAAAATTACTTTCTTTTCTTTTAAATAGTAGAACACAACATACCGAGCCCCAAACATACCACACTTAGCAGGCTTTCTCTGTGCCTACAACAATATACAAATATATACTCACATCTCTAGGGGTTTGGGTTTTATTTTAATGACATTATACTGTATAATTACTCAACTTCCTTTTTTTCACATAGCTATATCCACTGTGTGCTTGGCTCTAGGTCAATCACATAGGGCTCACACGTGCTTCCTTAATATCCATGCTTCTTATAGATCACAGTTCATTCAGGTAGTACCTATTAACAGACATTTCAGTTGTTTCCGGTTTTTTTCCCTCTTATAAACATTGCCACAGTAAACACTTTTGTCAACACATTATTAGTAGTGGTGCTTTTATTTTTGTGGGTTAGAGTCCCATAGGTGGGTTAAAGGTTATGCCCATTTATTAAATACTACCTAATTACCTTCCCAAGAAGTTGTAGCAATTCACATATCTTTTGGCAATTTAGGAGTGTCCATTTTCTCTATTCTTGTCAGTACTAGTAGTCACCAGTCTTTTTAATTTTTGCCAACTTGATGGGTAAAAAATGGTGACTACTACTAAAGTTGACATCTTGTTTTGTGTGTGTTCAACTTTTATTTTTCCATTGCTATGAATTGCCAGTTTACATCTTTGCCAACTTTTCTTTTGTGCTGTTTAACTTTAAATCAATCTGTAGGAACGTTGATCCCTAATATTAGGAATATTAGCCCTTTCTCATAAATGTTGCCTGGATTTTCTCCTAGTCTGTTTATTTATAGTATCTTTTTTCTATAGAGAAAATTTTAATTTTTGTGTAGTCAAAGTATCAGTCTTTTTCTTTGTGACTTCTGGGTTTGTTATATTCCTTAAGAAGTCAGCTTGGGAATTTTTCTCTTCCAATGATGGAAAAAAAATGAACAAGTCATGTTAAGTGAAAAAAGTCACAGAACAGTATGCACAACAAGGTCCTACTTTGTTTCATAAATATACATACTGTATAAATAAAATCAGTGTGGAGAATAAGATGAAATTGGAAGCAACGCTGGGGAGAGGGAGAGTAGGGAAAGCTTCATTTCCATGTATGTCTGTAATGTTTGAATTTTAGATGTGTATGTCTCACACAGGCTGCTTTTTTAAATTGAGACATAATTCCCACATCATAAAATTTACCCTACTAAAGTGAACAATTCAGTGGTTTTTAAATATAGTCACAATGTTATACAACCATCACCACTAGCTAATTGCAGAACATTTTCATCACCCTAAAAGGAAACACTGTACCCATTAGCAGTCACTCCTTACTGCCTGCTGCCCTCAACTCCAGGCAACCACAAATCTACCTTCTGTCTCTATAGATTTGTCCGTTCTGACATTTTACACAAATGGAATCTTAACAATATATATGGCCTTTTGTGTCTGGCTCCTTTCACTGCAACATAATGTTTTCAAGGTTCACCCCTGCCATTGATGTACCTTGTCATGTGTTAGTCCCTTATTCCTTTTTATTGCTGAATGATACTCCATTATGTTGATCCATGCCACATATTGTTGACCCATTCATTGGTTGAGAGACATTTGGGTTGCTTCCACTTTTGGGCTATTAAGAGTAACCCTGCTATGAACACTTGAGTACAAGTTTTTTGAAGACATATGTTTTCATTTCTCTTCATTATATACCTAGGAATGGAATTACTGAATCATATGAAAACTCTGCATTAAACCTTTTGAGGAACTACCAGACTGTTTCCAAGGTCACTGTGGCATTTTATGCTCCCACCAGCAGTGTGTGAGGGATCCAGTTTCTTTACATTCTCAACAACACTTGTTATTGTCCATCTTTTTTAGTATAGCCATCCAGGATGTGTGAAGTATCTCAGTGCGGTTTACAGGATTGTTTTTAAATTTTGAAGATTATAGAAATGTCACCATCATTTTCCAAGTAGTAAGCTTCTTAGTAAGACAGTTTTGTACCTAAAGCATTTCTAATTAATTGTGGGTTTTAGTAAAGAAACACCTAGATAGTTTATTTGCACAGCCAAAAGTATCGATTTAGTTGGGCTTGCTTTATTAAGATGTTTTATGTCAAGAGGAATAAAGTATATTAGATTGAGTGTGTGTGTGCATGAGAGAGAGAAAAAATGAAAACTAGATCCAGAGCAAACACAGAA